TGATCTGAGACAGGCTGGGACCTGAGACCTGGGACCTGGGGCTGATTGCTGCAAGGCTTGCCCTTGGAGAGACATCCTGAGCAACAGGATGCAAAGAAACTATAAGGAACTAAAAATAACTGCAGGTATGCGCAGCTGGGGCAAATTATGAACAAGATACAAAGAGACCAAAAACCCAGCTGCCACTCCTGAGGTGCTGGGAGCAAAAGCAGGTACTGCTCATGATCCCTGCACACAGCACCACCAAGGGGGCGGGCAGACCCTAAGCCACCCCTCCAGCCTGACCCCAGACCTGCCCACCTTCACCCCACATAAGGGCCCAGCCCGCCCCAACTCAGGGAGCAACCAAAAGAGCACCTGTTACTTGTTCTCACTCCCTCCTGCTGCAGCACGAGTCCCAATAAAGCCTTGTCTGGATTTCTTGTCTGGCGTCTTATCAATTTCTATTGATTAAGGAGTCCTAGAACCCTGGTCAGTTAATGGATCTAAACTTAATCACATTTTATAGGAAGATAAAAAGTAATATGGCCAATTGCCCCAAAAAAGAATTCCTTGAGGGGAACGTAAGGTGTGACCATGTGAAATGCACAGCCGTCACCGGCAGAGCCTCACTCGGGGTGGCGCACGTCCTGCTTCAGGGCTCCCTCTGTGCCCGTTGCTATGGGAAACACATCTGTCCAGAGGCCACTCCCTTGGTTAAAAATTCAGCCTTAAATAAATACAAAGCTGCTGGACTCTCAGGCCCGCCCCCACACCTGATGCCGACGCCGTCAGCGCGGTGATCTCCTCACAGCTACTGCGACAGATGTTCCTGGGAGCTCAAGTCTGTCTAATCCAAAGCCATAATCCCACCTCCGAACCTAAGAACAAACCCCCTAGTCTCCCTGACCCTCACACCGATATGCCCTCCTGAGAGGTGCAGGCTCACAAAGGTGCTGCGATTTTACACACACATAGTTTTTTATTAAAGGTTTTATTGGCCACAAAGACAGCCCTGAGTAAGCACAAGCCACTTACATTCACAATTACCATTCTGTCATTAAGGAAAGTTTGTATAATAGGAGCCCTGATGCTTTGCTCAAAGTCATTTTTAATTCAAAAGTTTCCTATTATGTTTTGGTAAATCAACAGTTAATGGATCAAAACTGCATGTTTAAACATCACCTTAAATTCTTAATTTAGTATCTAGTGATCAAGCTAAAGGAGGTATTTCCTGTTTTAAATATTTGCAATCTTCCTACAAATATGAAATGTCTAGGACAAGACACAGTAGTGTATCTTAAAGACATCTGTGCCTATAAATGCTTTTATAGCAAGTAAATTACTTCTACACACTTAATACAAACTTAAATAGGATATCAATCTTTAACAGCACCCTTTTCCAGCAGACTATATTGATATTTGATTTACACAAAAATATGACAGCCAAGTAGACATAAGAACCAGTCATAGGTTTACAAGCAGAGGAAAAGCCCCTAAATAGAACTGAATTATTTTAGGGGAAAAAAAATCAAGATGATGCTGTATGGGACCTAAAGAATGTGACATCCTCTTACTGTGCTTTTGGCCCTTGATGGTGGAAGATGCCAGCCTCACCTGCTTCTCCATCCCCCGTGTCACAGCCTCTCTTGGGTGAGTAACATTTGAGCTAGGTTGTGAACTTCCACTAAGTTCTCCAACCGAAATCTGTGGACTTCTTCAAGTTCATGAATGTATATTCGCTTACAGAAAAGATCTCTCTTCCTCTTCTCTTCTCCTTTTAAGCCGAACATTGAGATTTTGAAAACTGAACCCAGCACGATGCCCGTGTTTTGGGTACGGGGCGACTCTCCCCGGCTGTAACAGCAACCCGAGCTAGATGGTATCCAAGCAACGGGCTCCCTCGGGCCATGCCGCAGAAATCCTGGAAAGTCTCAGCTAAGTCAGAAGACAAGAAAGCACCCAGAAATAACCAAGAAAACGTCAAATGAGATTATCTTACCTCACAAACTGACAATTTAAATACACATATACACACGTACACACATACATATACACACACCCACACTCATACACACATATGTGCACACACATAACACACATAACACACATTTACATACATCCACACACACACACAAAGGATGCCTAAAATTGAAAATATATAGGTAAAAGAGACCTTTTCCTTAGAAATTTTTAAAAAATTGTTCAATAGATAATATAATAGTGTGTTGTGGGAATTACACTTAGGACTAAAGTGGAAACTGCAAAGGACGGAGGAGAGTGACTGAAAGACACCGTATTAAGGTTCATACATTAGGGATAAAATGTTGTGTTGTTGTTTGATGGTAGGAAGTGACAAGTGACAAGATGATCTAGGGAAGCCCTGGAACAAGCACTGAAAACGGTAAACAAGGAGCTACAGTTACTAAGCCAGAGCGGAGATAAAACAGAATACCCAAAATACACAATCAGCACTTTTTTAAAAGGCTGTAAAGAAGGACCGTAAGGAACCAAGAAGGGGCTGGACAAGCGGAAAACAAGCCGCGAGACGATCCGTTTAAACCCAACCACACTGGCAGCTGTGTTCCCTGTCAGCAGCCCACACACGCCGATTTATTCAAACGTCAGGTTGAATTAAAAAGCAAAATCTAACTACAGCTACTCTCCAAGAAGCCCACCTTACATACAAAGCACAGACAGGTGAAGTGGGAACCGACAGCACGCACATCACAGGAAGCGAGCTGGAGCGGCGACAGCGCCGGGCAGCGCAGGTCCCACCGCAAGGACAGGCCGGCGTGAAAGGGCCCTCTCGCGATGATGAAGGACTCCATTCCACTAGAGGGCTTACTCCCATACATTTACACATCCAGCCACACGTACACGAAGGGAAACCAACGAGGAGAAACAGACAAAGCCATTTTTGTGTTCTCTGCCCTGCTGTGGACCTCCAGTTCTGTGCAGGTGACAAGTGAGAATCGCTTTTGTGATTTTTAGGTGGCCATAGAGTTGACTCCTCTTTTAGAAGGAGAAGCAGAGAGACCATAAGTTACAGAAACACGTTAACAAATGTAAAAAGAATGGTCACTGCGGCCCACGTACAGTGAGGAGCAGGGCTCTGGAGGGACCCTGAAAACAACATGCGACGCCCAGGAAGCGTCTGGGCATCGCCGCGACGCCAGACCATCAAGGGAACATTGCACGTGATGCTAAGTTTGACGTGTGCTTTCCACAACAAGGAGGTCACCAGTAGCACCCTTCCTTCTTCCCTTTTCTGCATTTTTTTATTAAGTATGGTCAGTCTACAATGTTGAGCCAACTGGTAGCACCATTTCTTATAGAATGTGAGGTCTCCATCCATCTAGAGGTGTCTCAGACATTACACGACAGACAAAATCCTGGGTAGATCAGATTCAGGCCTGGAACTTGAATCAAGGATTTGGAAATCAAGGGAAGGCACAGGTTAAAGAGAACAAGCCCAGGGAGGCATACCCTGGACGTAATTTAAAGATAAGAGGCGTTTGTACAGCGCTGGTGGTACCTACCCAGCTACATCCTGAACCTTAAATTCATCATTTAAAGCTTAAGCTCTCCTAAGAGAGGGTCAGGACTCCTCAGACCGTGACAGTTCGGGTGTGTAACTTGGAGCCATGTGAAAAGAACCACTGTGAATTCACTGGCTGGAAGAGGGTCAGTTCAGGCAGGACCCCACTTGGAGGTGGGGGGACGATATCACACCTGCCTCCAGAAAGGGCCGTGAATTTACAGAAAACCAAGGACAAATCCCAGCTCTTCAGACAAGTGGAAAGAAAAGAAATGCTTTCACCTCATGATGAAATCTATGGCTAAAGAGCAGCACTGAGTCTGGAATCCAGGTTCTGAAACGGCCCCCCACGCCCGGTGGCCCAGGGTCTAAGCCCCAGGGCAGTCCTGAGCAGGCGAGGGGCCCCAGACCTCCCACCGCAACAAGAAACATGAGTCACAAGTGCAAAACAGGGCCGGGGCGCAGCTCCCCCAAAGTCTTTAACTTGTGCGCACCTGGACACTTTCCACCTGCAGAGAAGAGGGTTGCCAAAAGCAGCTCCCACGAATAAAAGAAAGCCGTAAAGTGACAAGAAACCACTCAGAGATCCGACATCGATACTGAGGAAGCCAGTCATTCTGGAAGAATTAAGGGCCATTCACGTCCCGTGATACAACACCAAATACAGAAAGTGACGGACCCTGGGGGTCTAGGACCCGCCCATTTGGAGAGGGCTGGGGGTTGTACACACACCCCAAGATTTCCGCAGGGGAGATGAGCACTTACACAGAAGAGCTGCCTGCAAGCCGCACGCCCTGCCTCACTGGCTGTCACCGGGGGCGAGGTCACCGGAGAAAGCACCCAGGGCTCTCGCCTTCCAGCTCCGGGGCAGGGACTGGCCCTGGAGTCTTCCAAGAAACCTTCCCCTTACAGCTTCTGTAAGATGCGTGGGAGTGGGGGAGGCCAGCAGCACCGACAAAGCCAACGAGGGACAGTGAGGGGAACCCTAGCATTTTACCATCTGCACGTGGCCAGCGCCCTTTCAGTCCTAACGTGCGGCAAAGCTCTTGGCTTTAATAGGAATTTTAACTGCTGCAATACGATCTCAGAATAATCCCAATTATTCATTCACAAATACTGATTTTCTATAGTAGAAACTGAACAAAACCCAAAGTCTGTCTCGTTGAGCCTACCCTGTGGTCGGAGGGCAGATAACGAATGCCTATAAGAAATGTTCAGTGAAGAAAGACGGGCTCGGGGAATAGGGAGTGAGCCGGGAGTTCAGATTCGGAAAATGCGAACCAGCCCCGGGACGGCAGAGCATCCCCGATGAAGGAGGTTAAGTGCAAAGCCGGGTGCCTGGTGTGCCCGCCAAGAGCAGGAGGCTGGCAGGAGGGCCAGGGAGGTCCCCAGGACCTTCGCCCATGATGAGCTTTAGTCTAAATTCTAAATAGGACTGAAAAGACACGTTAATATTTCAGCAGGAATGTGTTGCCTGGAGCATCTGTTTTCCCAGAAACCACCCATGCCTGTCATCTCCTTGATCTGCAGAAGTGCCACATTCTTTTGCCTCTCTCCTAAAAATTTCCAACATATATGCTCTCCTGGTTAATTATTCACACAGTACCTGCTTGACATGCCCTGGGCCACCAGGAAACTGATGAAAGAACAAATGAAGATTTGAAATAACAGCCGGGTAGCGGTGAGGACACAAAAGGAGGGAATAAATAAAAAGGAACCGAGGGCAATTCGCCGAGAACAAACTGTATCTCAAGTAAGTGACCACAAGTCAGGCAATGAAATGCAACATCGCTGAGACCTTGCAGCATGGAATTTATACCCGACCAGGGCCACTAATATGTCGGAAGCCTGAGTTAGTCAGATGGAAGCACTCATTTATGGCAAAGGGACATGTGTAAGTTAAAACGCAGACATTTCAGATTACATCCTGGGGTAAAGAGCAGCCAGCTTTGTCTCCTAAAACTTAGTATCTTTACTTCTCTAGTCCAGAACAACTGATCCTTCTGCTCAGAAATACAGCCCTCCAAGAAGACGGTCAGAGTCAACAGTCTCGGGTCCACGTCACAGCTCTGGTCTCTAACGAGCCATGTGGTGTCTTCGGGCCTCTGTATCTCGGGTTGAAAGTGAAAGTCAGGCTCAGGGACCAGCCAGGCTCCTCCTGTCCAACGGGTCCTGCTCTCTGGTCACCATCATCCCACAGGGCAAACACTGACCGCGCCCAGCTCCCCTCATCCCTGCGGTCACTAAGGCAAGAACAGGGCCACACTTTTACAGACTGTCAGTCCCCCTGCGGGAAAATGACAAACCTCGTTAGTAATCAAAGAAATACAGATGAAGACAGTTATTGAGAGAGAAAAAGGGTGCAGGCTTCTAGGAACTGAAAAGCCTTATTCCAAAGTGATGGCCAGGTCCTGGGTCAGTGCTGGAGGGGAGGGCCAACCTCCCCCATGGGAAGCCCTTTCCCGGGGTCCCCGCCAGACTCTCTCTGGTCATGGAACATTTCTGGCCTTCATTTTCTTGTTTTAAAAAAAAATAGGTTGAACGACACACTACATTTTAGCTTAAATAAGAATCAGGGAGAACGGTGGGCTGGCCTGAGACAACAACCAGGTCCTGCTGCACAGCACAGGGGACTGTGCTCAGGACCTTGTTCGAGCCTATTATGAAAAAGAATATGAGACACTCACATGTACAACTGAATCACTGTGCTGCACACCTGAAACTAACACAACGCTGTAAATCAGCTGTACTTCAGCAAAATAAAAATAAAAATAAGAAGAGAATCAGAAATGGCAACCCGACTCACTTAGTTACCTTAGATGACCACGTTACCAAGCCAGGTTGTAAATCCTTTGAAAAGCCTGCCTGCAAGTAGGAAAGACCCCCCCACAACGGCCTGATGTGTGAGAGGACTTCACGTAAAATCGGGCAGAGTTAGGGTTTTGTTTTGCTTTACGGCACTAACGACTGGTCCATTCAGTACAGGGGGACACCCCGCTGCGTGTCCTGCCAGGACCCCGGAGGGCCCACGAGCGGCCAGGGGAGCGCCGGCCGACTTCGCTGCTTCCTGGTGCATCTGTGATTCCCCGTTCCCTGGACCTGTGCCTCCTTCTTGCCAGCACGACCAGATGCCCTGCATCCTGAGGAATTATCTCTGCCTTCTGCTGAGGTCTGAAGACCCCTCTCCTGAGCCCCCCATGAGCCACCGGCCCGCAGCTCGGTGGACAGTTTCATTTCTGCCTTCCTGGAGTGGGTCACTTCGGCATCTAATGCGCCGAGCACAGCCTGTGGCTGTGGAAGACAGACGGATCTCCAAACTATCAAATCAGGTCTCCAGAGGAGCCCAAGTCATTATTACAAGATCAATCCCTTTAACCACCCCAGTCCCCGAATACTATGACTTAAGCTACAGGCTTTGTATAGCAAACAACTCTTACTTTTAAAAAATATTTTATTTACTTATCGTTGTATTACTTACTTTATTTTGGTAGCAGGGGAGGTAATTATGTTTATTTATTTTTAGAGGAGGTACTGGGACTTGAACCCAGGGCCTCGTGCCTGCTAAGCATGCGCTCTGCCACTTGAGCATCCCCTCCCCCCACAACTGCTTACTTTTGAATACTGCTCTGTGCGTCCTAACTGGCCTGCAGGAGTGGTCAGGAAAACTGCTGCCCATCGTTAAATAAATCCCTGGCAAGACCGCCCTGAAGGACCCCTGGCTGGACTCCGTCCTTCGAATGTTTCAAGCAGCTTGGTGGCCGGGCCATACCTGCCCTGAGGTGGCCTCTGTCTGAGCCGCGCGCCCTGACCCCGCCCCAAGACCACGCAAGTGACTCTTCAGTTTGCAAAATAGCAGCCCATACCTTAAGGCCGACCGTCCCCACCATCCCCTGCCAGTTCAGCCAAAAAGAAATCCGTACGCTCACCTTGGTCTCATGTAAGAAGAGAGAATTCCGGGCAGACAAACGCTGCATTTCAGTTATACGGCACAGGGAGGGGAAGAGTTGTGTCAGGAAGGTTTATGGTTCTTTTTACGAATTTGTTTTAAATGCTGTGAAAGAGAAGGTAAAAGCTGCCCAGAAACCCACCATTTAAAGAAACGAACGATCTCAACTCCACTTACGCTGCACTCCCGGGACCTGCCCTTTCTCATACAAGTGGACACACACACACACCACCCCCGACAGACAGACGCACACACACTTTTCTTGCATAGAATGGGATCACACGGTGTTAACAGCACACCCTGAGCATCAGCCAGCGCCGTGACTGCAGAGCACGCCCCGGCCCTGCCAGTGCGCGGATGCCACGAGTCTGTCACACCCGGGTCCTCAGTCTCCTAACACTGGGGAAACATTTCGACTGACAAGTCAGATGACGACTTTCCGAGGTAGACAGGGACTACCGTCCTTGCTTTACTTGTAAGAAAATAACGGACGAGAAGGCTGGGTGACCTGTCGAAAGTCCCGAGGCTGGTAAGTGGGGGCTGTGACACAGACGTCAGGTTCCCATTCCCCCAAGTCCTGCCTGCCCCCCATTAGCCATGAACCACGTGCAAACACGCCTCCCACATCCCTTCTGGCTGACTGCGGCCTGGCATGAAAACCTTCGTCCCATCAAAAGAAAGCTGCCTCCTTGAAACCCACAAGGATTTTTTTTTAATACATAAGTTTGACGACATTATAAATAAGCCATTGTCTCTGTCTAACACTGACCTCGTGAGCAGCTTTCTAGAGAAAGGATATGGGAAGGATCTAACTGGGGAAATAGGAGCCCAGAGCTCCTGGAAGACAGGGTGCCTAGGAAGCAGCTAAGATGCCAACAACAGAACAGAACGACCAGATGGACCACTTAGGGTCACATAAACGAAGGTATGAACAGCGAGAAAAAGGAGGCTGGTGGAAGGAGTGCTCAGGACAATCTGGAAGCAAGCTGCAGGCCGAGGAGGAAGTCAAAGCCAGTTTTGGGAGTGTCCCAAGGTAGGATTCCTGGGAGGGTGTTGGCTCGGTCAGCTGTCAAGGGGCAAGAGCTGGTCAGGGGCGGGCCCTGCCTTCCCACCCGACCGCAGGGCTTGACGCGGCGCCCGGCTCGCTGGAGGTGTTGAAAGCCGTGTGCTGATCTAACACGACCTACTGTGCCAGGGTATCAGAACTTCTGCTTTATTTGGGACTAATTTATTCCTCCAGCAAATATTTCCTGAGGATCTACTATGTGCCATGCGCTGAGCAGGACCTGGAGAACACAGGGGAGAAGAAGACACAGCCTTCGAGTTCAAATAAGCCAAAATCCAATCAGAGAGACAGGTATGTAAACAAATACAGGACACTGAAAGAATGTCTCCCTAGAAACAGACAACTGTGCTCTGGGACGTTCAGGAAAAGTTAAATCCATGCTGACGAGAAGAAAGAGGAAATGCTTCCTGGAGGAGAGGGCATTTGGCCAAGATCTTGAAGACAAAATGAATTCAATAGTGGGAAACCGGAGGGGACTCTGGCTGTAACAGGGAGAAACCCCAGGAAGCACCTTCTGCATAAAGTCATTTGCATGTGTGAGGGCCACAGCCGGTGGGCAGCTGGCCTGTCTTTTATTCTGGAAAAGCACAGGCATCTCACGAGATGGGGACCTCTTTGCCCTGTCCCACCCCCACATTACTCGCTGTAAAGTGACTAGGTGTCGTGCAATAGGAAAATTCCAGGACCCCTGTCAGCAAACTTATAGGCCCACAGTCCATTCTGAAGATCAAGCAGGACAGCCTATTTCCTTGGTGAATGTTAATTTTTTAATACTTCCCATGTTTTCCCCCAGTCCCCTCTGACTCGGAAGCGCATTTGCCCCGAGCTCCAGTGGGCCTGGTACAGTTTTGTCTCTTTCTGAAGGTCAGTATTTATCCTTATAAGAACCTGAAATAAAACATATTATTCTTGGCAGGGAGGGTATAGTTCAAGAGGTAAAGCATGTGCTTAGCATGCATGAGGTCCTGGGTTCAATCCCCAGTACCTTCTCTAAAAATAAACATATGAATGAACCTAATTACCTCCTCCCTCAAAAATAAACAATTAAAAAATATATACCATTCTCTTGAATCACTTTTTCCATTTACTCTTCCAGGTTATCCGTTTTACCATCTCCTTCTTATTTTAGCTTAGCTGTTTGCTGGGGGATCTGGCATTTTTAATGTCAGGTCTTGAGCCCTGGCTGTCCGAGGCTTTTTGGTCTGTATTTTTCATGCTCCGTAACAATCACGCTCAGACTGATGTACAAATGCCCGTAACCGTCTCCTTCGTCCCCCAAAGGAAATGAGAGCCAGGCAGATCCCTTTTCTGTAAATAGTCACGATGGACATTATTACTAAGCTTGCAGACCGAGTCAATGCTCGAGCAGACAGAGTGCACCGTGGCAGCGAAGCGACGGGGCCAGTCTGCTGGTCTAGCCAGCAGAGTTATTTACAGAAACTGCCGTCTGCAGACAAACAGAGCTTTACGGGAATATCAAAACGGAAGCACATCCACCAGTACAGGAGGCAGGGAACAGAAAAATCAGAAAGAAAGATTTTCAAATAACAATTTCGTAAGATGACACGGGAATTTGCGAACTGTAATCGAAGGTCCTAAAATCAAGCATCACAACAGATGCTCTGTTCAAGTGTTCTTTCCATTCTTTGCATGATTTCAGAAAGTCCATTCTTTTTTATTTAAGCTGTTCCTTGTGCGACACTCCAAGAGTAGTTGCATAGTATTGTTCTGCATGTGTAATCAGAAATTTAAACTATTAGAGATAAAAATCAGTTTCCTTGAAGTATCTGATCAGGGAACCATGACGACAGCTGTCCCAAAGCACAGAGCTCTGAGGATGCCCTAATTAAACAGCTCTTTAAAAGAAGGGCAAGATTATTTGGGGAGAGGGGAGTTTACCGTAATGGCTTGGTACAGACAACCCACAAATAGAACCTGTTAATAAGCCGCTGGTACAATACGTGGGGAATTTTCACTCTGCTCCACTGCAAGCCTGGTGACCAAGTAAATATCCACCGACAGAAGACTGGAGAAAACATCCTTCAACAAGATTAACACATCAGCGTGTGCGATTCTGCCTTGGGAAACAGCGCCTCCCGGCAGGGTCCTCACAGCTCTCAGCCTGCCCCACCGGAACCGAGGGGCAGGGCCAAGTCCCTGGGGCCCTGCCAGAACTTGCTAACACTGGAGAAGAAGGGAGCCCCTCATGTCGGGGGGGGGGGGGACGTTATCTTTGGGAACGAGAGACACCAGCTCCACATGCATAAAATTAAAGCTGTTACACCAGCTCCGTCTGCCACACCTGACATCACCGAGGCCACAGCACATCTCCTGGGACAGACGCACAAACGCCCCCTTCAATTTACTCCACTTCCTTCCGGGCACTTCCATCACTTCCCTGCCGTGAAGCAGCCTAATGGCCCTGTGTGAGCCTCCTCGGATTAAATAATCCCTGCTTGCTAATCCCATACCATCCCAGACCCAGGATGAAGGGGTCCTCTAAGTGGTCCCAAGACTGCCTTCTTCTCACTCTTTACGACGACGTAGTTCACCTGATGCCCGGACTGGGTCTGTAACACCCGGTGGATGGATGCTGTCCGTTTGTTCAGGGCTCGTGTTCTGAATAGGCTATTGCTGGTGGGCTGGGCTCCCGGGGGACCAGCCCGGGCAGGACCTCTGGCCGCAGGGTGCCCAGTCCTGCTGCGATCTTGAGGGGCCTGAGTGGCAGCACTGAGGCCAGTGTGCGGAGCCTCCGAAGGCCGGCGGGATGGCTAGGGAGGACAAATGGGGCTGACGGGGACGGGGTTGGGGAGTGGGCTTCCTGACGGGCATCTCAGACCAATTCCCCATATGAGGGCCCAGCCCGCGGGTGCCCCTCCTCTTCAGGATGCCCGGCTCTGTTCTCCCTCCCACTTTCCCACGACTTCCTCCCACACGTCCCCAGGAAGCTGAGCTTTCTGAAGGCATCCTCCACACCTGCCCCGGGCGTCTCCCCTGCTGCCCTCGACAGCCTCCTGCTGCTACACCCTAGGGCCCTCCAGAGCCTTCCTCCGGCTTGACCCCAGGGACACTTGTGGTGATCTGAACCCCATCCTGCGCTGCAGCAGACCACATTCATTTCCTCCAACTTCTCAGTGGCTTTTATGGCTTTGCCTTCCCCTGTCTGCTGCTCAGACGTCGATGTTTGGGAGAGTTCTGTACTGGACACTTTTCGCCACCTTCTCATCCTTCACTAGCGCACCAGCTGCCACCAGCACCCGCCGCCGACTCTCGGAGCTCCCACCTGTCAGGGCCACAGCCTCAGTTCCAACACCCACGACGCCTGCTCACCGTCTAGCAGGTGCTGCAAACCAACTTGGCCAAGAAACAGAAGTGATTACCCCTCCAAAACCGAGCTCTCCTCTGGTGCTCCTGACCCCACAGGGGCCCCGACCACACATCTCAGCAGCCCCTGGCCCCCTCCCCCTCTTCTCCGCATCTTATCAGGTCTCTCCCAGGAGCGCCCTCTGCCCTCTCTGCCATGCCCCGGATTTGGACCCTGTTCCTTGCCCATTAACACTTTCCTGGACAGGATCCCTCACTTCTCCAAGTCATTCCCCAAAATTCTCTAGTGCAGATCCCACTGTGGGACTTGAAAATCCTTCAGAGGATCCCCTGCCACCTTGCAGGTGAAGTTCGAATTGTTTAATTTCGGGCTGGGCTTCCCCTCCAACCCACCCTTCCTCCCAAGCGTCCCCCAGATGGACACGTCCAGCGCCCCCGCAGGCTATCCCTCCAGGGTTCTGCTCAGACTGTTTCCTGTGCCCTGAGCCCTCTCTCCCAGCGACACCCTCCTTCACCCAACTCAGTCTTCGTTCAGTCTCAGACACGCTCCCTCCAGGAAGCCTTCCCTGGCCACCACGCCCGGGTGCCATCCTCGTGGGCTCCCCTTTCTTCCCCTGCCGTGGTCTTGTCTGCATCCTCCAGCGCCCGAGGTTCAGCTCCTCCTCACCAGCCCTCCCTCAGCCCTGAACACAGCACCTGCGAACAGCGTGTGATCAGCAAACATCCCATGGGAGGTCCCCTCCATCCCCTTGTGCTTTTAGGATTTATGACCTGTGATAAATAAAGTGGACGGATAACCTTTGTGCAGATTATAGAATCATGCACGTGGGATTTTCTTGGATGCTCCCAAATTCAAGTTCTCCACTCCTCTTAACCCCTAACCTTCAAAGTGTCGTGGCTGCAACTAGCTACCAAATGGCTCAAATCAGGGGGCAACAGTCCGTCTGAAGTAAAGATATGCTGGAAAAATATATTCCCAGGCCAGCTGTTCCTGTGGGATCTGGGGAAACATGGCTGCCACACGTACAGAGGGAACCCCGACCTAGCGATGGAGAAAGCTGGCCCAGAGCGAGCATCTGGATGCGGAGGAGTTGAAATCTTACTCAGGGTCACCCAGTGAGCTCCTGGCAAAGGTGGAGGCAGAACTTACAGCCCACACAACCCAAGCTGAGTTCTGCTTAGGGTGGGGTTTTCCCCATGTTGTCCCCAGCACCAGCGTCTTCCAGCTCAGTGCTACTAACCAAGATGGGCTGTTCACGAACAAGAACCGCGTAACCGAGGAAGCACCTCTAGGCAGGCGTGGGGAACTTGAGGCTCAGAGGGCCCTCCTTCCCCTGGAGTCTCGAAGTGGGGCCCCCCGGCTCAGCCACTCCCGGCGGGAAGGCCGGGGAGCGTGAGGCTGAGCCGGGGGTCCCGTGCTTACTTTGATGCGTACCTGGGAGCCAGCACCATTCACTTAGTTATCCAGCAACAACTGAAACCATCCGAACAGCGCTTATGAAACACTATCAAAGCCAGGCTATGTCCACACTGTCTGGTCCCTCTCAGTGGTCACGAGATAGTCTCCATGGTTTGTAGGTGGGTGAACTGGCTCTGAACAGCTTCCTAGTTTTCCCAAGATCCCACGACCTCAGGCAGCCCGACCCAGAAGTCTAGACTCTCCCCAGTGAACCCACTGCCTTATGTTAGGGGAGGGCAGCAGAGCATGTCACCCCAGAGATGCCTCTTTAGCATAAGGATTATTCTGAGCTGATTATTTTGAGAAACTGGACACATGCAGATATTCAACGAAAGGACACAATGTGTGTAAAAGCAACCGAATTTCCTTCTGACTGCGGTACCGCATACTTGCCAGTGGGGCCACCACCAGTCCCCAGCAACGCACCCCTGACTCCACCACGGACCAGGTCGCCAGCTGGCCGGCGTTTCTGTCCACCAGGTGGGGGCCTGAGCCTGATGACACTGCACGTCGTGCAAGTTCAGCACTGACAAAGTGGGGCCAGGGACGTCCTGGAATGTGCAGCTTTAGTTCTGAATCCATGTATTGGTATATTGTCCACGACAGATGGTTCCTTGTCGGCGTTTTTCAAACCACATCCTCAGCCACAAATAGGCGTTGAGGAAAACTTAACTGCTGCCCACTGTGACCTTCCCCGAGCTCCACACCCACCAGGACAGCCCGCTCCAGGGTCCGCACGCCGGCCGAGACGCCTTCTGCCTGGCGCCCTGCAAGGGCAAAGGCCTGAATGCCCGACAGGCGGGCTGCTTTTCTTTCCCAAAGACCAAAACTGACCCAAAGGGCTTCAGCATCAATTTCCTTCCATACTTGTTGGATGCTTAAGATGTTCAAGGCACCGAAATAAAGGGAAGGTGAGCTTCCCACTTCAAGAACCCACGTGGAAAGTTAAATCCTTATGTGGTAAGTTTTTGTTGACTGCCGACTTCCTGCTCTGTCCTCCACGACACTAAGGACTTCCGGGGGCAAGGGTTA